TATATATATATATATATATATATGGCCTTAATTAATGTTCCTACGTATAATCTTAATTAGCTAGGTTGCAACTAATAACATTTGAGCTAGCTAGCTAGTACTCCAAATGACAGTATATTGACATCATGCTTCATCACTTGTTTATTATCTAGTCTAGCCTTCTATAGAGAGGTGACGGTGGCAGCTTGATGGCTCATATATAGTTCCATTTAAAGCTAAATCTCAAGGAGCTTTTCATCACTAGATGATGAATGAAAAGTAGGGGGAGTATATATATATATATATATATATATATATATATATATATGAGAGTAATATATAGGAGCATGGCGTCAGATTTTGTTGAAGATCTTATTAAAGCATATAGTTGTATAGAGTAAATAGGGTTATGTACTTACTACTGGAGTTGGACAGCCATGTCCATATGACAGTCTTTTTGCTTGAAATGTCCACTTCAATTCAATACTATATGCTACTTCAGGCCAGGCATCATTTCTTCCCTACACTATTGAGATACCAACTTTGATACTCACTCAATCTCCTCCACCTTCTACCTTCCTCTTCCCCATCCTTCCTTATCATCCAATCCCTTTCTCTTCATTATTATATATATACAGAGGTATGTAATTTCAAAATTAAATTCATTTCTATCATTTAAAGTTGCATGTTTCTTTTTGATTAATCAAACCTTTTTGTCTGAATCCAAATGAAAAGCAAAAGCACGCCAATCTTATTCCTCTATTTTTGGTTTTAGATATAAACATTCCAATTAACCAAAAGTTTGAAATAGCTTAACTGTTGTTATAATTGTGCTGGATTAGTCTTGTTGAGGCAATTTCTCAAGTAATTCCACCGTTTCAATTTGTATGAACCTATTTTCTTTTTAGTAAGTTTCAAAAAAATAAACTTTTTTCTAATAAAGAAACTCTTTATTTTAAATTTTCAATATTAAAGCTTTTACCGTCACACAAATCGTATGCTACGTTTTACACCACAAGTTTCAAAAGATTTTATAGTCACACAAATATTATGGGGTATTTACAACCATAAATTTTAAAAATCTTTTTTTTTCTTAAACTTTGTATCCACTCAAATATATATGTTCATATAATTTAAAATGGAGGAAGTTGCAATTAGCTAAAAAGAAGCCATCTATATATTGTCTCGCTTCTGTACGTTTAAAGTTATTTTACCTTTTTTCCCCTCATTTTATCTCATGTATTCCAAGCCTCTCTCTTGAATTCTAAGATACTAAAGCATGTGCTTATCACTCGATGTACTCTCAAGTCTCACCCTTATGTTTACCTTAAACTTTTCAAAGTACTCAAGGATATAAATCTAAAATATGTTGTACGCTTGGTAAATTATTTGTGAGAACATTTTCAGTGTTGATCAGGTATAAGGTAGGTAACTAATATAATAGTAGAATTTGGGTGAGTGAGTATGGAAGAGGTCTTTCGGTGATAATTTGAATGTTAAGTTTGACAAAATGTTAACATATGTTTGGTTTAAACAAGTGGAATGAATTAAGATATGTAGGGACTAATGTGTTTGATTTAACTACATAAACTTTTATTTCTAATTTAATCTTAGCTTTTTTAAAGGCTTTTACAGGAAAATTTCTTAATGAACAACATTCTATGTGATGGATGCTAAAAACACCCGATTTGTATTTAAGAAGAAACACATTTTGAGAGAGTTGCTTCAGTCAAAGTGAACCAGTGTTCTTGCAGCCAAACAAAAGACACTGCGATGGAAGAAGTTAAAGCTGAAGAATTCTACATAAGGAATCAGAATTCAACAAAAATAATTGGGTTTTACTGTAAAGGGACATGAATTTTCAAATATTCTCTGCCAGACGCTACATTGAAATATTCATCGTAGCTGGATATTAATGTATTTTTGGTCATTTTTTATTCTTATATCACGTTAGTGGCATTTTCCTGTATTCTATATCTCATTATTTAGCCAGTAATTTTCCTGCTTGGTGATAAGAATGCGTGGAAAAAAAGGGTCACAAATGAAAGTGTACTGAAGCTTCATATATATCCACATAAAAAAAAAATTACAACAAATTAGTCAAAAGTAGATCCCTTTAAATTGACTTACGGGAAAGAAGATCCCAAAGTGATGATGTCATGAATTATTTTACAACTAAAAGAAATACTACTATTACGTATTCATGGTGAATACAACTACAACTTGTCCTGATTAAGAAATTATTTTAACATACAACTCTGCGACATCCGTGTAAGTTTACATCACTTGAATAAGTGATTATACAAAATTAACAAAATGACTTATTAAACTTTTTAAGCATAACCTATGAATTACTTTTGGAGGTTCAGACATCAGATTAGGGGTGTTCGTCGGTCGATACGGTATGGTATTTAGTCATTTCGGTTCGGTATTCGATTTCCTAAACTGCTATACCAATATCATACCTAATTACATTCGGTATGGTTTGGCTTTTCTCCTTTCGATTTCGGTTTCGTTTTATTCGGTTCGATAATTTCGGTTTATTCGGCTTGAATATTAACTAGCTAGTGCATAGAGCCATGCATAGACTGTAATATTCTTCATTAAAGTACTCAATGAAAATATTCTAAGCTCACCTGATTGTTGACAAAATCTATGTCCAAAATCATCAAGTATCAACTAAGAGAAAAAGGGTACATAAAGGAATACATTTGATCATTGGAAATATCATGTTACTTGCTTAGAGTTAATTGTTGAAATTAGAGAATACAACAAGGATTAAGCCAATATATGCAACAATACAAGTGTAATGGAGTAATTAGAAACACCCTAAAACCGTTGAAACATTACGTTAAATTGTTTGACAACCTAGAGAGTAAGAATTAGAATCTGCATCTTACCTTGTTTCTCCATTTTCCTAAAGAAGTACATGGGCTTTACTGCCAACCTCAATATTAATGCCAAAGAAATGTATTGTGTAACTTAGTATGTTAATCAATAATATCTGTAATATGTAATTTAGTATATATTTCGGTACGGTATCGGTATTTCGATATTATTCTTTTAAATACCAAATATCATACCTAATACCAAATTATTTTAAAAACTTAAACCAAATATCATACCAAATACCAAAATACCGAATACCATATACTAAAATTTTCAATTTCGGTACTGTAATTCGGCCCAAGTTGAGATAACCTATGAAGTTAGTTTTCATAAATGTTGTATTTTAGTAAAGAATATATGTTTTGGGCCATAAAATCCCAAATACCTTCTTACAGCCCAACAATGTTAGTTTGGCTAAACTCATGTTATAGCTCAGCTCAATGACCTAATTGGGCTTTAGTAGACGAATAGTGGGCTAATCTACTGCTTTAGGCTAAGTGTAATAACCCATTGGGCTTTTGTTGTCCAAAGTAAGTAGAAATGGCACTACGTAGCCACTTTTAGGACCGTTGTTTAAGTCTTAGCTAGCACTTGCAAATTATTTAATATTTAGCCACAGCTTTAAAAGCAGGCAAATATTGTTTCTTTTTTTCTTCGCTTCCTCAAACTTTAGGACAATGAAATCCTTTTTTTTTTTCAATTCACAATTTTAGGTGTCCTTAAATTCAGTTTTTCTCGTTCAAACTTCAACATTGCATCCTTAGTTCAGTTTTTTAATTCTAACTTCAGGATCTCAACTTTAGTATCCTACAATTCAATTTATTTAGTTGAAACTTCAAGGATAATGTGTTTTAGAGTTCAATTGATTCAGTTCAAACTTCAAGACAATGTGTCCTAAAGTTCAATTATTATGGTTCCAACTTCAGGCTATTTGAGAAGAAGAAAGATAAGGAGAATTAGAAAGAAGCATGGATCGTAGTGACCAATTTGATGTAGTTTTTCTATAATTTGGTGACTAAAATGATGCATATGTTCATGAAATTATGTCCTTAAGTTTAAACTAACAACAATAACAGACCCAGTGTAATCCCACAAGTGGGGTCTAGGGGGGTAGTATGTACTCAGACCTTATCCTTACCTTTAACAAGGTAGAAAGGTTATTTTTGAAAGACCCTCGACTCAGAAAGATAAAAAGAAGGAGCAATAACAAGCCAAACACTCAGAAAATCAAAGTGAACATACAAGACTAACGTTAAGTACTGCAATAAGAAAATTGAAGCGAAAGAGACGACAAGTAATAACATAAATCTAAGAGTAAGAAATTACAAGACTAATACTAGGTAATGCACTACACTACTGGCATGAGCAAGAATAACGTTCGAATACCTAACCTCGTACCTTAATCTTTAACTTCTACACCTCCTATCCAAGGTCATGTCCATGGTGAGCTGGAGCCTCACCATGTCTCGCCTAATCACATCTCCCCAATACTTCTTCGGCCTACCTCTACCTCTCCTAAGGCCCTCTAAGCCTAATCTCTCTCATCTCCTCACTGGAGCATATGTGCCTCTCCTCTTCACATGCTCGAACCATCTAAGTCTCGCTTTTCGCATCTTGTCCTCCACAAGGGCCACGCCCGCCTTGTTCCGAATAGCTTCATTCCCAATTCTATCTAATCTGGTATGCTCGCACATCCATCTCAATATCCTTATTTTTGTCACTTTCATCTTCTCGACATGAGAGTTCTTGACTGGTCAACACTCAGTCCCATATAATATAGTTGGTCTGACACTGCTCATAGAGCTTACCTTTAAGTTTTGGTAGCACATTCTTATCATATAAAACATCGGAAGTGAGCCTCCATTTCATTCACCCTGCCCCAATATGATGTGTGACATCCTTGTCTCTTCGCATTCTCTTGAATAACTGACCCAAAGTACTTGAAACTTTCTCTCTTAGGGATGACTTGTGAATCAAGTCCCACATCTTCATCCACCTCATGAGTCATACCACTGAACTTGCACTCTAAGTATTTTATCTTGGTCCCACTCAACTTAAAATCTTTAGACTCTAGGGTCTGCCTCCAAACATCTAACCTCGCGTTAACATCGCATCACGTCTCGTCGATCAGTACAATGTCCTTAAGTTTAAACTATATAGTTCAAACTTCAATTTGTACTCCCGTAAGAATAAGGTGACTAAGCTTATACTATTTGAGAGCCATGCTCGATTGCGATACTAAAATCCTCATTGATGTGGATATTAAGAAAACGAAAATAGGCAAGTGTGCCGAAGATGCGAGAAGGAGAAGAAGAGTGGAGAATGCCATTTCTAAGTGATAGCTATATTCTTAAATAGTTTGCAAACTCTTATTGAAACTTAAAAAGCAGCCCAAAAATTTGTCTACTGGTGTACTTGGCCCCCAAAGTAATGTATTAGGGTTTAGCCCAAAGTTTGAACAATGAGAAATATAACCTTCGCGGCGACTAGCTAACTTTTTTCTCCTTCTCTTCCATAGCCGCCGCCGAGGTCAGTGTTTCAAGTTGGAGTGGGCTTATTTTGTGAAATCGAATGGTTTGTGCAAATAAAGAATTGTCTAAGGTAATGTGATTCTGCATTATCGTAGGCAGGACGAGGCTTATTCGGGATGTCTTATGGACTTCCAATGCTTGCGTATCTCATTCCTCTCATCAGCATCCTCAAGTTTTCAAGATCTTTTCTGCACTCCCAAATCTTGGTTGGTATACTATTTTTTCAATTCTCTATCAAATTTAACAGAAAATGTGAAAGTTTTGGCTTTTTGAGTTTAATTTGAATCTTGTTATCGTTGTTTAGCAATTTTTATTCACCCAATTTGTTTTTTGTGCTTGCAGAAGCTTAAAGTGTCTGCCTTCAATTACACACTAAATTTTGTTGCAATCTTTTGGTGTTTTATGTTCCGTCTTGTTTAATATTTTTAAGAAAAAAGACTAAAACCATTGATTTATGTACAAAATGAAGTGTATGCTTGCTAGCCTACAAAGCTATAGAACACTGGATGTTTTATGATTGAATATCACTTAAAGAGTGAAAGCTTCTACGGCGTGACCTTTTTGCCAATTTTTCGGATAATTTGAGGAGTGGAGATAACTAGCTTTTAGATAAACTATTCATGTTTTTCAATTCACAAAGAATTATATAAGTTTCCATAGCTTGAGGAGGATCCAACAAGCATAGGGAATATCATGAATCTTTTTGTAAAATAAGGGGTAAATCACAATTTAATGTAGAATAAGAGGTGAATCACACAATTCAATGTAGAATATTAGACTATCTACACAAAGGTAGAGCCTAGCGGTCACTGAAGTGAGTAAAAACCTTGAAGAATAGAGTTCAAATCCAAGCAGAGACAAACAATGCGAAGGTGATTTCTTCTAACTAGGAAATAATAGCTCGGGGTTTTCGTTGCTTGTGAATCTGTGAATTTTCTAATATGTTATGTATAATATATGACCCGAATAACTGGAAGATTTCAACTAAGAAGTTCCAATCTCAGAGAGAAATACCTTGATAATGCATATACATAGACATTCCTCAAAATTGTTTTTTGATAAAAATAAATTTTTAAAAAAAACTAATAAGTAACTTGAAGGTTTGGCCCTTGAAGTGTTTTAGACCCATACTATGTTGGTTAACAAACTGTATTAATGTGATATTAAAACTTCTCCATTCTTTCTCTTCTTTCAGCCTCATTTTGGATCTATCCTTAAAACTTTTTGAAGGCTATAGTGTTGGAATTGAACTTGCTCCCTTGTGACAACCCGATAGGTCATTTTGAGTACTAGCCCTTATTTTCGTATTCCGAGACCTCTATTAGCTTTATTAGATATTTCTTGATTTACGTGTGTGGTCTGTATCGCTTTTAGAAACGCTTTTATGTGAAATTTTGAAGAAAATAAAAAATTTGACTAAAAATAAGGCTAGAGTTGACCACGGTCAATATTTTAGGTAAAAGACCCAGAATCAGTATTTTAACGATTCTGGTAGATCCATATTATGATTTTGGACTTAAGCATATGCCCGAAATTTAATTCGGAGGTCCCTAAGTTGATTTGACTTGTTTTGCCGAGAGTTGGCAATTTGAATGTGTAGAAATTCTTTAGGTTTGACCGTAGGTTAAATTAACTGTTATCGGGTTTGGATTTTGGTTTTAGAACTTGAAATAGGTCCGTTTTGCTATGTGAAACTTGTCTGCAAAATTCGGTGTAATTCAGAGTTGGTTTGATAGGATTCGTACGCTTGGTTGTGATTCTAAAGGTTTTTGAGTTTTGTTTTGAATTTCTTGTGTTTTGATGTCCGATTCGTGGTTCTAAATGTTATTTTATTGTTTTGATCGTGCAATCCAGTTTATATGATGTTATTACACTTGTGTGCATAATTGGTTTAGAGCCCGAGGGGCTCGGGTGAGTTTCGAAGGTGCTACGGATGAGTTTGGTTAGTTGAAGATTGCTGGTGTGCTTTAGTTCTGGTGTTGGGCTGCAGGTCTCGCATTTGCGATGATCTATTCGCAAATGCGAACTTTGCTCTTGCGAAGTTGAGCTCGCAATTGCGTTGGGGGGAAAAGGCATGGTAGTCTTCGCATTTGCAAAGAAATTAAATGTTCGCAATTGCGGACATCCCAGACTTCATTTTTGCGATGGCTTGGTCGCATTTGCGACTGAGCACTTGGCTTAGGCAGGTTCGCAAATGCGAACCTTTGATCAGATTCGCGGTTGGATGAGACATTGCAAATGCGATGATTTTGTCGCAATTTCCTCTTATATAGACTGGGGACACAGTTTACATTTGCGACCTGAGTTTCGCAATTGCGACATCTGCAGCTGGATAAAAGAGGGGAAAAATTAGGACTTAGCTCATTTTACACCATTTCTCAACCCTAAACAATTTAGAGGTAATTTTTCAAGAATTGCTTCTTCCCAAAATCATTGGTAAGTAACTCAAACCTACTTTCTTTCAATTCCCCATTACTTTTCATGTGTTTTTAATATCAAATTTAGGATTTTATGGTAGAAATTAGGGATTTTGATAGAATTTAAGAATTTTATAAAATTGAGATTTAGACCTCAAATTGAGGTCGAATTTCGAAACAAATTACATAACCGGACTCAAGGGTGAATGGGTAATCGTATTTTGGTCTGAATCTCGAATTTTGACCAAGCGGGTCCGGGGTTGATTTTTGTTGACTTCTTAAAATTCATCAAAAATTGAACATTTTTCCTTCGTGAGTAGTTTCTAAAGCTTATTTTGAATTGTTTGATAGATAATTGATTATCTCATTAATTGTACGCTTTCGTAATCATCGTTTATGTTAAAGTTGTTGGGATATTGAAGGTTGAGTTTGTTTATCATAACACTATGATTGAAGTGAAATTTACTTCCCACCTTGTATTGATACCTTGGTATATTATTGTTGCTTGGTGAGGAAGAAGGGTGTTGCATATGCTATCATTTATTTGAGAGATTGTGAGGATTAAAGCACGAAAGTTGATGCCGTGCACTTGATTTCTTATTATCATTTATCTTACCATGTGAGGAAGAGAGTAAAAGTACGAAGGGTGATGTCATGCCATTTCATTTATCATATCATTATTATATGGTGAGGCTGAGAGTAAAAGTATGAAAGGGTGATGCCGTACTAATGTTGATTCCATTGCTTTATTTGATTTTCGGATTTTGTGATTTATCGGTTGCATTGTCATTTATCTTGGAAGAAGTTTACTTGGTGACTTTGTACTTGCCATTCTTATCGTACTTTCTTTTTCTACATGTTCCCTCCCTGTTATTATGTTAAATGCCTATTTGTTATTTTTCTTTCTTCATGTATATATCTGCTTAGGATCTTAGTAGGTGTCTTGTCATAGCCTCGTCACTACCTCATCGGGGTTAGGCTCGACACTTACTGAGTACATTGGGTCGGTTGTACTTATGCTACACTTTTGCACTTATTGTACAGATACTGGTGTTGGTCCTAGCGGTGTCTAATGATACTTCTGTTCAGATCATTTCTATAGTGGATACTTGAGGTAGAGCTATTGGCGTTCGCAGTCCCTGAAGTCCCCTTCTATTCATGTCTTTACCGTTTATGTCTTTTCAAACAATTATATTTTGTTCAAACCATACTTGTAGTATTCTAGTTGCTCATATACTAATGACTCTAGATTTTTGGGATTAGACTAGAACGTGGTATATTATGGGTTTATTTTATATATTACAGCTTTATTAGTCGTTAATAATTGTTATCACTCTGTTTTAACTTATTAAAAAGGTTAATTGTTTACCTAATATTGGTTTGCGTAGCAAGTAGAAGTTAGGCGCCATCACGGCCCCGAGATTGGGAATTTGGGTCGTGATAAGTTGGTATCAGAGCACTAGGTTGCTTAGGTCTCACGAGTTATGAGCAAGTTTAGTAGAGTCTGGAGGATCGGTACATAGACGTCTATACTTATCTTCTAGAGGCTATAGGGATTTAGTAAAATTTCACTTCTTTCTTTCTCTATCGTGCGATTTTATTCTATCACTGAAGTTTGAATAATTCCATTCTTGTTCTCTCGTAGATGGTGAGGACAAGCACAGCATCCACGGCGCGTCAGGAGCCGAAGCCCTAGGTTGCTGCAACTACCAGAGGTAGAAGCCAGGGCCGAGGTCGAGCCAGAGACAGAGGCAGAGGTAGAGCTCAGCCTAGAGCACATGCAGCAGCACCTATTACGGAGCCTCAGATCGAACAAAAGGAGGAGGTTCCTATTCAGACCATGCCAGTTGGACCAGCTCAGGTCTCGGAGCGGTTTATTGCTATCCTGGTACTTCGGGGTGCTCTAGTCCGTTTGGTGGGCCTTATGGAGAGCGTGGCCCAGACCAGTGCATTTTCCGTGGCACCAGCCGTCTCTGAAGTTGGGGGAGGAGCCCATACTCCCGCTACCCACACACCAGAGCAGATGGCTCACGGATATCAGACTCCGGCAGTTTCGCTAGTTGGAGTGGCTTAGACTAATGTTGCTACATAGACCGGGGGGAGGACCGCGGTATCTTCTAAGGGGTTGATAAGATTGGACAAGTTCACAAAGTTATTTCCTATTCCCTTTGGTGGCACACCTTCTGAGGACCCACAGGATTTTATTGACCATTGCCACGAGATATTGTGCAACATGGGTATAGTGGAGTCCAATGGAGTTGACTTCGCGGTATTTCAGATGCATGGCTCCGTTAAGAGGTGGTGGCAGGACTATGATCGAACCAGACCAGCAGGATCGCCTCCACTCACTTGGGATCAGTTCTCACAGCTATTCTTGGAGAAGTTCACTCCTTTTTACTCTGAGAGAGGAGTACCGTAGGCAGTTTGAGCGCTTTCAGAAGGGTAGCATGACTGTTACCTAGTTATCTTGCTTTTTACTGAGAGGGAGAGAGTGAGGATATTCATTGATGGTCTTACGATTGGTATCACACTATAAATAGCCAAGGAGACTAGGGATGATATTTCTTTCTAGCGGGTAGTAGAGATTGCTAGACAGATCGAGATGATTCGTGGTTAGGGTAGGGAGGCGGTATCTGAGAAGAGGCCTCATTATTTTGGTAGTTTCAGTGGTGCCTCATCGGAGGCAGGGGTTAATTTGGTAGATGCCATCTTCCCAGGCTGATTCAGTCAGCTCTTCAGGCATCCCACGGTGCTTTGGGTAGTTGTGGTTCTTATGGGTATCATCCTGAGCAGCTAGCCTACAGCAGACCTTCAGCTCCGGTCAGTGCATCTCCGATTCAGAGTTATCAAGGTGGTTATTCAGGTCGACAAGGTCAGTTTCTGGGTCAGCAGTCATAGCAGATGAGGACTTTTTATACTTGTGGTGATCCGAGGCACGTCATGAGGTTTTTCCCTAGGTCACAGGGCAGCATGCCATAGTAGAGTTCTCGTGTCATGGTTCCGGCACCGGTTGCCCCATCACCCGCTCAGCCAGCTAGAGGCGGAGGTCAGGCAGCCCAAGGTGGTGGTCAGGCCATTAGAGGTGGAGGTTAGCCAGGGAGAGGCCGTTCAATTTGCCATAGAGATGCATCAGTTTTATTTAATCCGGGATCCGCCTATTCATATGTGTCATCCTATTTTGCTTCATATCTTGTCATGCCTCGTGATTCTTTGAGTGCTCTTGTTTATGTGTCTACACCTGTGGGAGATTTTATTATGGTAGATCGTGTTTATCGCTCGTGTGTGGTTTCTATCGGGAGATATGAGACTAGGGTAGACCTTCTACTTCTTGATATGTTAGATTTTGACGTGATCTTGGGCATGGATTGGTTGTCACCTTATCATGCTATTTTGGATTATCATGCTAAGATTATGACATTAGCCATGTCGAGGTTGCCTCGATTGGAGTGGAGAGGGGCTCTTGGTCATTCCACTAGCAGGGTCATTTCTTATGTGAAGGCTCAACATATGGTCGAGAAAGGATGTCTAGTATATTTGGCCTATATCCGTGATCCTAGTGCGGAGGTTCCTTTCATGAATTCAGTACCAGTTGTGCGCAAGTTCCCAAAGGTGTTTCCTACAGATTTGTCGGGGATGCCACCCGAAAGAGATATTGATTTTTGCATTGATTTGGTTCCGGGCACTCAGCTCATTTCTACCGCACCATACCTTATGGCCCCGGTTGAGTTGAAGGAATCAAAGGAGTAGTTGCAAGATTTGCTTGATAAGGGATTCATTAGATCGAGTGTCTCGCCTAGGGGTGCACCGGTATTATTTGTGAAGAAGAAGGATAGAACGATGAGGATGTGTATAGATTATCAGCAGTTGAACAAGGTCACTATCAAGAACAAGTATTTATTGCCGAGGATTGATAACTTATTTGATCAGCCTCAGGGTGCCAAGGTGTTTTTGAAGATTGACTTGAGATCTAGCTACCATCAGTCGAAGATTAGGGCATCGAATGTCCCTAAGACAACTTTTCAGACTCGCTATGGTCACTATGAGTTCTTAGTGATATTATTTGGCTTGACCAATGCTCTAGCAGCCTTTATGGATTTGATGAACCGGGTGTTCAAGCCCTATCTGGATTCTTTTGTGATCGTCTTCATTGATGATATTTTGGTCCACTCTCACAGTCGAGAGGAGCATGAGAACATCTTTAGATCGTACTACAGACTCTGAGGGATCGTCAGCTATATGCCAAGTTTTCAAAGTGTGAGTTCTGGTTGGACTCGGTTGCCTTTTTGGGCCATGTTGTATCTTCCGTGGGTAGTAAAGTGGATCCTAAGAAGATTGAGCCAGTTTAGAACTGGCCTAGACCTAGTTCAGCCACAGAGATTTGGAGCTTCTTGGGTTTGGCGGGTTATTATCACTGGTTCGTGGAGGGGTTTTCATCTATCTTAGCCCCATTGACAAAGTTGACCCAAAAGGGTGATCTTTTCAGATGGTCCGATAAGTGTGAGTTGAGTTTTCAGAAGCTCAAGATTGCACTAACTACAGCTCCAGTGTTGGTGTTATCTACAGGTTCGGCATCTTATACCGTGAATTGTAATGCGTCACGTATTCGGGTTGGCGCGGTATTGATGCGGGATGGTAGAGTGATTGCCTACGCATCTCGATAGTTGAAGGTTCGAGATGTAACTTATATGGTGGGAGAGAAGGTTCTTCTCCGAGTGTCACCTATAAAGGGCGTGATGTGGTTTGGAAAGAAGGGAAAGTGGAGCCCGAGGTTTATTGGGCCATTTGAGATCTTAGAGAGAGTTGGGGAGGTTGCTTACAGGTTTACATTGCCTCCTAGCCTAGCAGGAGTACATCTGGTATTTCATGTTTCCATGCTTCAGAAGTATCATGAGGACAGCTCGCATGTTCTAGACTTTAGCACGGTTCAGCTTGATAAGAATTTAGCCTATGAGGAGGAGCCGGTGGCTATTCTAGCCCGACAGGTTCGAAAGTTGAGATCTAAGAGTTTAACTTCTGTGAAAGTGCAATGGAGAGGTCAATCGATCGAGGCAGCTACGTGGGAATCCGATTCAGATATGTGGAGTAGATACTCCCACCTTTTCACCAGTCCAGGCACTTTTCTATGTCTGTTTGAGGATGACCGTTTCTTTTAGAGGTAGAGAATGTGATGATCCAATTGGTTGTTTTGATTAATACCCCTTATTTCCATGTTCCGAGACCTTCATTAGCTTTATTTGATATTTCTTGGTTTGCGTGCATGGTCCATGTCACTTTTCGAAAAGTTTTTATGTGAAATTTTGAAGAAAATGAAAATTTTGACTAAAAATGAGGCTAGAGTTGATCACGGTCAATATTTTGGGTAAACGACCCCGGATCGGTATTTTGACGATTCCGGTAGGTTCGTATTATGATTTTGGACTTAGGAGTATCTCCATAATTTAATTCAGAGGTCCCTAAGTTGATTTGACTTGTTTTGCAGCAAGTTGGCAATTTGAATGTTTAGAAATTCTTTAGGTTTGACCGTAGGTTGACTTTTATGGTTATCATGTTCGGATTTAGATTTTGGGATTTTAAATAGGTCCATTTTGCTATTTGAAACTTGTCTGCAAAATTCGGTATCATTCGAAGTTGGTTTGATAGGATTCAGACGCTTAGTTGTGATTCTAGAGGTTCTTGAGTTTTCTTTTGAATTTCATGCGTTTTGACGTCTGATTCATGGTTCTATATATTATTTTTGTATTTTGATCGCGCTAGTGAGTTTTTATGATGTTATTACATTTGTGTGCATGTTTGGTTTGGAGTCTGAGGGGCTCAGGTGAGTTTCGGAGGTTATGAGTTTGGTTAGTTGAAGACTGCTGGTATGCTTCAGTTCTGGTGCTGGGCTACCGGTGTCGCATTTGTGATGACTTGTTCGCAAATGCAAACTCTGCTTTTGCAAAGTTGAGCTCGAAATTGCGATGGGGGACTAAGTAGGGTAGTCTTCGCATTTGCGAAGAAATGTTCGTAATTGCGGACATCCCAGACTTCGCTTTTGCGATGGCTTGATCGCATTTGCAATTGAGCACTGGGCTTAGGCAGGTACGCAAATGCGAACCTTTGATCGCATTTGCGGTTGGATGGGACATTGCAAATGCGATGATTTTGTCGCAATTGCGACTTATGCATGCTGGGGGCACAGTTCGCATTAGCGACCTGTGTTTGCAATTGCGAACAAGAGTTTGCAATTGCGACATCCGCAGCTGGGTAAAAGAGGAAAAAATCGGGACTTAGCTCATTTTACACCATTTCTCAACCCTA